GATACATGAACCATCAGTGCACCCATTGATACATGAACCATCCACCCATTGATACATGAACCATCAGTGCACCCAATGATACATGAACCATCACTGCACCCATTGATACATGAACCATCAGTGCACCCATTGATACATGAACCATCAGTGCACCCATTGATACATGAACCATCAGTGCACCCATTGATACATGAACCATCAGTGCACCCATTGATACATGAACCATCCACCCATTGATACATGAACCATCCACCCATTGATACATGAACCATCCACCCATTGATACATGAACCATCACTGCACCCATAGATACATGAACCATCCACCCATTGATACATGAACCATCAGTGCACCCACTGCATACATTGACAATAGTTCTTGCAAAATAGCTTTAGTATAGCATACGGACATTTTCACCAAATACAGACCGCTATATCATTCCATTGCATTAGAGCATACTTGGACATTAATGTCTGATAAAAAGCAAACATCGCAAGCAAATATCGAAATTTCGGAATTTCAATTTTCTTCAAAAGCCCACAAGTAGGAGAGACGTTAGGCGTGTCTTGAACGTATCACGTGACAACTAAATCAGCATCGTAGTTTACATGCCTATGATCATTCAGTGTTTATTTAAACCACGCTCTTGGGTAAAGCTTTACTTCTGCACCGAGTTTTTAAATCTGAATGTCATAGTGTAACATTAACTAAACCACTGGTGGTAGTGTAACATTAACTAAACCACTGGTGGTAGTGTAACATTAACTAAACCAATGGTGGTAGTGTAACATTAACTAAACCAATGGTGGTAGTGTAACATTAACTAAACCACTGGTGGTAGTGTAACATTAACTAAACCATTGGTGGTAGTGTAACATTAACTAAACCACAGGTGGTAGTGTAACATTAACTAAACCACTGGTGGTAGTGTAACATTAACTAAACCAATGGTGGTAGTGTAACATTATCTAAACCACTGGTGGTAGTGTAACATTAACTAAACCAATGGTGGTAGTGTAACATTAACTAAACCAATGGTGGTAGTGTAACATTAACTTAACCACTGGTGATAGTGTAACATTAACTAAACCAATGGTGGTAGTGTAACATTAACTAAACCAATGGTGGTAGTGTAACATTAACTAAACTACTGGTGGTAGTGTAACATTAACTAAACCAATAATGATAGCGTAACATTAACTAAACCAATGGTGGTAGTGTAACATTAACTATACCAATGGTGGTAGTGTAACATTAACTAAACCACTGTGGTCAAAGCACATATGGTCAACGCAGTAAGACGATATATATATATATATATATATATATATATATATATATATATATATATATATATATATATATATATATATATAAATTCCCGGCTACGCCACTTGTGTGTGGTATGGAGTTAGTCGATTGAGGTGGGGATTTTGGAACATGCTGTGTGAGATAATATGAAGTGAGTAGCCAGGGGTGTGTTTTTAAGGTGAAAAATATTCTAAGAATTTCTACTCCATTTTACACTTTACATAAAAATATCTTCATTTCTACTTCATTAGTTGTGCGATGGAATCTGTAGGGATTGTGGTTTGTGGAAAGTGGTGTGTTTGTGTGATATCAATTATTTGAGTGGAGGGTGGTGTACTGGTGTTAAGGGATATGTGTGGGTTGTGTGTGGGTTGTGTGTGGGTTGTGTGTGGGTTGTGTGTGGGTTGTGTGTGGGTTGTGTGTGGGTTGTGTGTGGGTTGTGTGTGGGTTGTGTGTGGGTTGTGTGTGTGTGGGTTGTGTGTGGGTTGTGTGTGGGTTGTGTGGGTTGTGTGGGTTGTGTGTGGGTTGTGTGTGGGTTGTGTGTGGGTTGTGTGTGTGTTGTGTGTGGGTTGTGTGTGGGTTGTGTGTGGGTTGTGTGTGGGTTGTGTGTGGCCGTGTGGGTTGTGTGTGGGTTGTGTGTGGGTTGTGTGTGGGTTGTGTGTGGGTTGTGTGTGGGTTGTGTGTGGGTTGTGTGTGGGTTGTGTGGGTTGTGTGGGTTGTGTGTGGGTTGTGTGTGGGTTGTGTGTGGGTTGTGTGTGGGTTGTGTGTGGGTTGTGTGTGGGTTGTGTGTGGGTTGTGTGTGGGTTGTGTGTGGCCGTGTGGGTTGTGTGTGGGTTGTGTGTGGGTTGTGTGTGGGTTGTGTGTGGGTTGTGTGTGGGTTGTGTGTGGGTTGTGTGTGGCCGTGTGGGTTGTGTGTGGGTTGTGTGTGGGTTGTGTGTGGGTTGTGTGTGGGTTGTGTGTGGGTTGTGTGTGGGTTGTGTGTGGGTTGTGTGTGGGTTGTGTTGTGTGAGACATTAAAATGTGGGTCGCAGTGTGTTTTACGATCAAGCATATCACTTTGAGTTTGTTTTTGTGTTGATCAGTGATGTTACGGGTCAGTTGTTGGTTAGATTAGAATAGACTAGAATAGACTAGAATAGACTAGAATAGACTAGAATAGACTAGAAAACTAGAATAGACTAGAATGGACTAGAATAGACTAGAATAGACTAGAATAGACTAGAATAATCCAGAACGCAGGGGATAGGCGTGTGTGAGTTAACCACGGGGTGTTTAGGTATTGTTACCACAAGGTCGAATGCGAGTATAAAAACTGTAGTAAACGATTGTGAAGGTGGTAGCGGTTAGGGCTTATGGTGTAATGGTGAAGGTGAGAAGCTACATAAAGGATTGAACAGTGCCTTGAATCGTGTTTGGAGTTGAACGAAAGGTCGATGGTAATAGGTGTGGGGGCGGGGTTTATGGTGTGGTATATTCAAGTAGTGGTAAGGTATAGTATTTTTCATGCTGTTATTCTCTTTCAGTTCCTCATTTTAATGTATACAGTTCAAATTTTATTAGCAAGAATAAAAACGATACTATATTTCGAGACAATCTTTGCTGTACTCCAAAGAGTATTTTATTTCACTTGGTTTATTTTTATTTTACAGTAACATTTGAGTATTCGCTTAGTGTGTGATCAGTTTTAAGTAATAATACATACATTGGTATGTTGTGTGTGTCGTTATTTCTCACACTGGTGCAAACATTTTTTTTCTCTCCACAGTTTAAGAAAGGGTAGACAACTGCGTATTTTTTAAATAATTTCTATTTTATCGGCTATCTCCCTTTGATCTTTAAAATTTCCGTGCTCTATTGTTTTTTTTTCCAAATCATTCAACAGATGTGTCCGCCCATTTCAGGCATTGTATAGAGGGCAATTTTAAGAGGAGGGGAGGGGGCGATAATGATTGGGGATTATTAATTAACTGTACTGGTAATTGACTGAAGAACGTTCTATATTTTTTAAAATATTACAAATGCTTTATAAGTGAGAGTGATTTGTGTAACTTTATAAAGTCAGATAATCACTGTTATCGTGTGTTTTATTAACACCCCATTGCCGGAATTGTAAAAAAATTTTTTAGCAGGCAACCCATCATATATAACCATCATTTTCCGTGTTTCTTTCAGGCATTTGTTCCCTTCCACCCAACCCCACCATTCGGACGAAATAGAGAAAAAAAGGTTTACACAAAGTAGCTCTAAGTGTACAGCTACTTTAACGCTATCTTTGTTTTTGTTGTACACAACTGTCCAATGTTACAAACATAGATTGACGTAGTTCTAATGTAACTGTGCGCTTTGCAAGTACTTTGTTTATGTTAAACTATACATTATCCATTACAATTCTAATGCAAGTTTGATTGCTTAATTTTTTTTATAACTCTTAGCAAATCCACGATAGCTTACAATATATTTTCAACAATCTTTAAGGTTACAGAGTGGGAGGTAAATTTGGGCTAAAAAACCGGCCATAAAAAATAATTTAAATCCTATTTCAAAACGTGTGCACTGTTCCTTGGTAGTTCTTTTGTAAAATGTGTTATAACCGTGAGTAATGTTTCTTCATTGTCTATAAAATCTGCGTTGTGTTTTGTTATTAAAAGGACCAAGTCTATGGAAGCAAGAGGAACAGGCTAACCTCGGAGTAAACAGCCTAAATGGCGCATAACATGTTAATACTTAATACTTTATGTGTTGGAGGAAATTACCAAAAAAAATTCAATAAAAAACGAAGAGGAAAAGATGTAATTCTTTCTATTCTATTACAAATGTAAACAGTAGCTCCCAACTATTTATCAGCATTCAGACCAATGAAAAAACAAACACATTTGTTAAGTAGGTCAATTCGAAAGTTTACTGCATTATAATTGTATGGAAATAAAATGCACACAATACAAATAATTTTACGTCTACTATGAGTACCCATGATTAAGTGTTCCATTGAAAACCCTTCGATCTATCCTAATAGCTTAATTCTATTGAGTTACAGACTAACATAGCCTGTCATATCGAGAGCGAAAGTGTTTCCCCAATATTGGGGGTTTCGGGTCTTTATTTGAAAGTATCGATCAATTTAAATTTATATTAAATTAAAATTAAATTATAAAGACAAGTCAACGTAATTATGTTGGGTAGGAGTCAAAAACACATTGTGGTTTTAAACATAATTACATAGTTAATGGTTATTCATCGAATCACTTAATTTGCTTAATCATTGACGAAAATAACATTTCATTATTTTCTAAAGTGTTTTAAAGCCACCCTAGGCTACTGCACTGTAACCCATTAAAATTAGTTCCACTGTGTACATGTGTAGAGGACCCGTACCCCAACCTGTACACATAAGCACCAGCACTACCCGAGCATGTAGCTGTTGTGTACGTGTACCTGGTCCAAACGTCTCCCACATGCTCTCGATCCACCCAGTGACCTACAGAGACCTGCTTAGAGCAGCCATGAGGATGTGACACTATAATGGTCAGCTTGTCCACATCTCTACGACTCTTGTATCTATCATCCACCTTTTCATTTATGCAGTCATACCGCCCCACCATCTCCTCCAGTTTATCAGCTACATCTACGTCATGTGTCGCACAAAACAACAAACATCTGTCACTTTTAATATCTAGCATCCACCCACCCACCTTCCACCCATGAATCTTGACCAGTGGACTTATATCATCATCAAACCACAACATACAGCTGGACTGTCTCGCCTCACTCTCATCAAAAACCACAAATCTGGCTGTCACCACAACAACCTCCCACCACACTTTGCTGGGTGTGTCCGAGTGGTCACATTCAGGACATGGACAAGTTCTGTTGTTTAGCATTCCCTCTGTGTACTTGGTGACACGCTCCACCCACCCAGTCCCTGTCCTCAGTGAGTTCTGTCCCTTGGTGTTGTAGCCAGGATATGGATCTTTAGTGCCTGGTACAAACTCTGGTCTGTCTGGACTGGTCAACTTAACGGCTACCCTGACAGAAAGGTCAGCCAGGGCTTGAACTAGTTGAACCAGCTCGTTGTTACGGTAACCAGGAGGGAGATGATGAGCGACAAATTTATTAATAGGAATAAACTTCTCATGTCCTGGATTTTTGTTACAATTTCTTAAGAGAGTGTGTAAGGAAGAGTCTTTAAAATTATTCTCGTCTTCAATATTTCCTTCTGTTTCCAAGTCATCTGTAAAATAAACATTTCAAATTATAACGCAAATTATATTAACACCTACTCTCTCTACGATTTACAAACATTCATCACGTGATTTATACAACAAAACTCACCGTTAGATAACTTAATTTGATCAGACATTTCCGTCTCTGTAGTTGTATCTTTGTTGTTATCTGTTTTAAATAACATCATTACATTTTTAACATTTTTATTAATGGAATATCGTTGCAAAGGGTTTTTTTTTTAAAAATCAAAGGCTGTATTTCAATCAATTTATGCATAACATTTTTTAACAAAAAATGTAAAGGATTATTGTCATTGCGTAGATATATTCAAATTTATTCAAATTTATTTAAAAAATGGTAACAATTGTAGGCACGAAGGCCTTTTTCACATTGGCCGTTTAAACAAATAAAACAACAATTCAATAACACATAGCAGTAACATACCACTAAAAATGTGGAATAAAGAAATAATGTTACATAGTTATAAAACAAAATGAGATTAAAAAAGAATATAATACATGAATGAGAAATGTTTCAATGAGTCAGTTAGAGAGGTCCTTAAATAATTAATGTTTTAGTTTAGATTTGAATATATTTTCAGATCTAGATAGCTTTACTTTATTAGGAAGATTGTTTCACAAATTAAAACTAAAGTAGGCGAAGCTATGTATTTGGAAAAAAAAGTTGTATATGCGAACGGTAAATTAAGACGACGATTTAATTTAATGTTAAAAGAAAATAGATCTGATAAGTAAGAGGGGGCTGTTTTGTGGAATATTTCATGTAAAAAATTGATTTAGTATATATTATCTTTTTATTTAATGGAAGTATTTTAGTTGTAAGAAAAGAATCCAGACTACTAGACAAGCCAGTAACCAGTTTTATAGCCCTTTTTTGTAATGATAGAAGAGGACGTACTTATTTATAAAGCTGCCACTCCACTACAGCAGCATAATCCAACCTAGATTAAATAAAAGCTTCATAAAAAAACTAGCCTGCTCCTATAGTCCAGAAAGTTCTTTATCCTTGCTAGTTGAAAAGTTGCCTTTAATAAGGACATTCTTAGAAGATGAATATGATCGGACCAAGTGAGGTTGTGATCTATAACCAATCCTAGGCATTTTTAACTGTTAACCTGTTCAATGTTTGTATTGTCTATAGTAATGCGTAATGAGGTGGATGAAAGACGAAGGCGTTTCTGATGAGTTGTAATAATCATTGACTTGGTTTTATCGGGGTGAAGTTTCATTTTGTTAAATTTTGTCCATATAGCAAGCTGATTGGCACATGTTTGAAGTTTGTAACTGAGTGACTCAGCACTGTCAGCAAAGACATGTAACAAAGTATTATCAGCGAACATCTCGCACTGACCAGCGTCATTGTGTAATGGAAGATCATTAATGTATAAAGAAAAAAGTAAAGGACCTAAGATTGAGCCCTGTGGAACCCCTATATTAACATATTTCTGTGAAGAGATGGTATTAAGGTGAAACACGCGTTGAGATCGGTTAGATAAAAAGGAGTGAGGTAACCTAACTGTAAAGTCGTGGAATTTGTATGGAATTAGTTTTTTAAGAAGAATGCTGTGATCAATAGAATCAAAGGCTTTTCTGAAATCGACGAAAAGCGTGCCACAGAGTAGGTTTTTGTTAATATTTTTAAGCCAGTTTTCATTTATCGTAATCAGAGCAGTGTGACAAGAATGAAACTTTCTAAACCCAGACTGATTACTATGGAAAAGCTTAAGCTTTTCTAGGTAGTTTGACATGCATATATGTATTTCTAGTGACTTGGAGAGGGAAGAAAGTATAGAAATTGGCCTGCAGTTATTAGCATCTTGGATGTTACCTTTTCTGTGTAGTGGTATAACCTTAGCATGCTTAAAATGTTTCGGGTAATAATGCTTGGCAATACAGAATTTATAGACATAGGTTAAAACTTCAGAGATTTTTGGAGCTGAAATCTTCAATACTTTATTAGAGATATCATCAAACGAAGTTGTTGAAGACGGTTTAAGAGATCTTAGTTTAGGGGTCATCCATAAATGACGTCACGCTTTTTTGACGATTTTTACCTCCCCCCTCCCCTCCGTCACACGTCGTCACAAAAAGTCAGACCCCCCTAAAATGACGTCACACCTCAACCTACAACCCCCCTCAAAATTGCAGTTGAATTTTTTTAAAACATCGATATTTTTCCAAAATCTTGTCTAAACTATTACAATTTATTAAAACAGTTATCTAAAACGCGAAATAACGTCTAAAATTCGTTTTCTAACATTGCTTTTTTATAATGCAAAATGTGACGTCGTAACATCTGAACCCCCCCCTCACCCTCATCACACATCGTCACAAAATTACGGACCCCCTCCCCCCTACGAGTGTGACGTCATTTATGGATGACCCCTTAACATATACTTCATGAACAGTGAGAAGCGGAATTATCAGCTCTGTCCTACCACGGTGAGCAGAATTACAAAAATGTTTAAGCTCCTCACTGATTGTGTAATCAGCATTTGTGTTGAGCGCTACAGATGATATAAAATGATTGTTAAAGTCACCAGCAGATATCTGGCAATGTCCAGCTGTATTACATGTGCGTTTTTTTTCTAATTATTTGATTTATGGCAGTCCAGATAGATTTGGAATTAGGTTTGCCTGACAGCAGCTTATTAAATGCTCCTTCTTCGACCTACGCACGAGCAGTTTGACATAATTTCGTTTCCTGCAAAAGTCCTTAGAAGTTCCATAACGTTTAAGCCAGTCTCTTTTATTAATTGCAGATTCGATATTGTTGTTAAACCAAAAATGTTTGTATGTAGTCTTAACCCTTTTAGAGATTTCAGGAATATGTTTTTCATATATAGTATAGAAAATACTATTCAGAAATGGCAAGATCGGGACAATTATAATTGTATACGTTGCAGAAGGGGGCAGCCAATAAATCCGAAAGAAAAAGATTTTCATTAAATTTTCTAAAAGAGCGATAATTTATAGTTATGTGTTGCCGCGAAGGTACACATAATCTTTTCGTCGAAAAAGTACAACAAACAGGGAAGTGGTCACTAACACCACAAGAGGGGACACAGACCTCTATTAGGTTGCAGTCAGGTGATGCGTAGATGTGATTAATTATTGTAGGCCTACTTGATTTATCATTGAATTAGACTAGACTTGTAGAAGTTACAAAGGACGTTGCAAACTTGACGGTGGACACTTTTGTGCGAGAGTATTGTGCGCGTGTTCAATAAAATATTTGTGGCATGAGTGTGACGTGAGCATGACGCGACAATGTACCGATGACGTAAGACGCAGAAGTGAAGTTAGTTAGGGGTTAGCCAAAATAGAAGACGGATATATGTGGGTATTGTGTAATAGATCTATAACTGTGCGATGATAAATTTAATTTCATAAACCTTACGATTGTACCTTCGTGTATCTACAACACATAACATTACTTAAATTGTTTTTGCTTACCTGCAACAAAATGTTCTTTAATTAACTCCCTTGATGTAGGACGCTCCTCTGGTATTGCATTGAACGTGGAATTTAAAAACAACTTCAAATTTTCAGACGCAGTGTCTGGAAGTCTAAACTCAGCTGTTGGGTTGGTCGCCATTTGTATGATGACCCTGGTTGGTTGAAGGTCAGGGAAAGGTGGGGACCCAGTGACCATCTCTACCACTGTAGCCCCTACACTCCTGTGGGAGGTCAAACAAGGCAGTGGACGTTTACATGTTTCTTTATTCAGCTAGGAGCTAACATGGCCATAACAACGACTCAAAATAATATCACAATGTTTTACTGACCATATGTCGACTTTAAAATCATAAGGTTTCTCATTGATAATCTCAGGTGCCATCCATTTGACTGTTCCCATCTCTGATGTGTTGGTTGTTTGGTTTCTCAGAATTTTAGAAATTCCTAAATCTGCCAGCTTTATTTTTAAGTCTTGGTCCAACAAAATATTAGCACCTGTACAGAAAACGTATGGTTTACAACAGTGCTACAACAGTGCTACAACAGTGCTACAACAGTGCTACAACAGTGCTACAACAGTGCTACAATACAACAGTGCTACAACAGTGCTACAACAGTGCTACAACAGTGCTACAACAGTGCTACAACAGTGCTACAACAGTGCTACAACAGTGCTACAACAGTGCTACAACAGTGCTACAACAGTGCTACAACAGTGCTACAACAGTGCTACAACAGTGCTACAATACAACAGTGCTACAACAGTGCTACAACAGTGCTACAACAGTGCTACAACAGTGCTACAACAGTGCTACAACAGTGCTACAACAGTGCTACAATACAACAGTGCTACAACAGTGCTACAACAGTGCTACAACAGTGCTACAACAGTGCTACAACAGTGCTACAACAGTGCTACAACAGTGCTACAACAGTGCTACAACAGTGCTACAACAGTGCTACAACAGTGCTACAATACAACAGTGGTACAACAGTGCTACAACAGTGCTACAACAGTGCTACAACAGTGCTACAACAGTGCTACAACAGTGCTACAACAGTGCTACAACAGTGCTACAACAGTGCTACAACAGTGCTACAACAGTGCTACAACAGTGCTACAATACAACAGTGCTACAACAGTGCTACAACAGTGCTACAACAGTGCTACAACAGTGCTACAACAGTGCTACAACAGTGCTACAATACAACAGTGCTACAACAGTGCTACAACAGTGCTACAACAGTGCTACAACAGTGCTACAACAGTGCTACAACAGTGCTACAATACAACAGTGCTACAACAGTGCTACAACAGTGCTACAACAGTGCTACAACAGTGCTACAACAGTGCTACAACAGTGCTACAACAGTGCTACAACAGTGCTACAACAGTGCTACAACAGTGCTACAACAGTGCTACAACAGTGCTACAATACAACAGTGCTACAATACAACAGTGCTACAACAGTGCTACAACAGTGCTACAACAGTGCTACAACAGTGCTACAACAGTGCTACAACAGTGCTACAACAGTGCTACAACAGTGCTACAACAGTGCTACAACAGTGCTACAACAGTGCTACAACAGTGCTACAACAGTGCTACAACAGTGCTACAACAGTGCTACAACAGTGCTACAACAGTGCTACAACAGTGCTACAACAGTGCTACAACAGTGCTACAACAGTGCTACAACAACACGAGGTGAGAAACGATGTGTGCGGGACATTATTAAAACAGATGGGGTTTGTGCTAATAAATTGTTCACCTTTAAATTGTTACAAAACATTAAATTGACTAATCAGTGCCTGAAGGTAGTTTATATAATCCACATGAGATATTGTGTTCATATTAACTGTGTACTATAAAGTTAAATGACTGTGTATGATAGAAACTCTCACCTTTAATATCCCTGTGTATGATTAAGTTATCATGGAGATAAATTAAGCCTTTTAAAATTTGGTAAGTAAATAGTGACGTTGTTTCTTCACTTAGAACGCCATTTTCTTCAATATATGTCTTCGTTAATTGTTTCTTTTGTTCTTCAGTAGTAGCATCCATGTGTTCTACACATTTTCCTTCTATTTCCTTCTTCTTCCCTTCTATGTAATCTTTCAATGAGCCCTAGTGAAAAATACAATTATGTTAACAATTTTGCATGATCTGTAAATTTAAATAATTTAAAGTTTACATAATGGACAATATTTAATGGATAAACGTCCGATTGAATATGAAAACCACAGTCGTTTTGTTTGTTGTTGATTTTGTTTTATAACTTTTAAATGACGCTGGGAATTACATGACGTTGTGACTTAGGTTTTGTCTTATTTTATTATATATATATATATATATATATATATATATATATATATATATATTTTACATGAGCATTTATAATTATTGTGTTTTATAACGAGACGTGAATAAATATACTCTCACAAACAGACACACACGCACAAACAAACGAAATATTTTAGTGGATACATTTGTTTGAACACGTGAGTAGGTCTATTAATCATATTGATGTACCAAGGATTATGTCCTATGCAGCAAGCGAGCGATAAAGAAATGCATGAAAACTGAGTGGCTTAAAGACTGACTTTAAGTTCAGAAAATTGTGTTAATTTCTACTTTGAATGTGGTTCTATCAATTGAGGAGTCTTGTGCACAAGTCAATTTGGTGTAATATTGAATTTTTTATGGATTTCATCAATGTCATTTATCAAAAAGTATACCATTAATGTAATAGTAGAACTAGTATATACATACTATATATATGTATATATATATATATATATATATATATATATATATATATATATATATATATATATATATATATATATATAGATAGATATATATATATAACCATTGCCACCGATAGCTTTTAAACATCAATTAGTTTGGCCAAGGAAATAAAATACAGGAATACAGGTACGATGAAAAGGAAACAAAGCCTGCATTCCTCCGTCAATTTTGTTGAAAGCCGTATAGAAAAAAGTTCAATACGCCTTTGATCATGCACATAATTACATTCTCTTCTCCATTTTTCCAAAGAAGGACACAAGTGTCGTGTATCTGTTCACCATGCACTCCCAAATTATTGATGGTAAATAATAACTAATATATGTATTTTACAACCAAGAAAAAGGCGGTGTAGACAGCCATGATCAAATGTGCAGCTTTTGTACCACGGCAAGAAAATCAAATCGTTGGCCAATGAGGGTATTTTATGGAAAGAATGAAAGTGATGCCTTGAATGCTTGGGTTATTTTTACTTGAAAGATGTCCAACGTTGTAGAACGTAAGAAAAACAAACAACAAACCTTCTTGAAGGAACTGATCCTTGCTTTTATTACTCGACATGCATATCAACGATTGGAAATCAATCAGACGCCAAAAAATTTCAAACAGAACATCCGTACCTGCGGCATTGTGGAGGCCCTTACACAAAAAGCAAGGACCACACAACCTCATTCAGTGCAACGCAAGAAATATTGTATTTTGTCCCAGATCATGTGACAAGCAAACCAAACTAGTCTGTAATGAGTGCAATCAGTTTGTGAGCGAAGAACATACCAAGCGAGTGTGCAACCAATGTCAGCAATGACATTGGGTCTACTTCTGGTTGAAATATCCTAAATATAGCCTACAAAACGTGAATACTTAATTAAGCCAGGATGTATTAACACATTGTAATATTATATTATGCCGAAATGACCCCATGGTACCAAACAAGTAAGTTTTCCTAAGGTACCAGAGCAGGGATATATATCAATAAAAATAGTAAGATCAATTTAAACACGGTACACTAGTTTAAAAAAATAATATTAAAAAATATTGTTTTTAAAAAATGTCTATATACATAAATAAACAAGTTCTTCACTGAAAAGTAATGTACAATCTATCATGCTACGATAACATGAAACGTCTAAAAATAAAAGTAATTTGTTAAATCTAACCTTCTGCATGTACGCCAAAAATATCCAGATTTTATTTTTCTCAAACTTACAGCCGTAGAACTGTACGATGTGTTCGTGATGAAGTGCACTCAAGATGGCGACCTCGACATGAAGTCTGGCAGCGTTCTGTGGGAAAAATGTTGTGTTATTATGGTGGTGTGTATGTGGTTAGTGTAATGGTGGTGTGTATGTGGTTAGTGTAATGGTGGTGTGTAGAACGTGTATGTGGTTAGTGTAATGGTGGTGTGTATGTGGTTAGTGTAATGGTGGTGTGTAAGTGGTTAGTTTAAGGGTGGTGTGTAGAACGTGTATGTGGTTAGTGTAATGGTGGTGTGTATGTGGTTAGTGTAATGGTGGTGTGTGGTTAGTGTAATGGTGGTGTGTATGTGGTTAGTGTAATGGTGGTGTGTGGTTAGTGTAATGGTGGTGTGTATGTGGTTAGTGTAATGGTGGTGTGTGGTTAGTGTAATGGTAGTGTGAATGTGGTTACTGTAATGGTGGTGTGTATGTGGTTAGTGTAATGGTAGTGCGTGGTTAGCGTAATGGTGGTGTGTGTGGTTAGTGTAATGGTGGTGTGTATGTAGTTAGTGTAATGGTGGTGTGTGTGTGGTTAGTGTAATGGTGGTGTGTATGTGGTTAGTGTAATGGTGGTGTGTATGTGGTGTGTATGTGGTTAGTGTAATGGTGGTGTGTATGTGGTTAGTGTAATGGTGGTGTGTAGACCGTGTATGTGGTTAGTGTAATGGTGGTGTGTATGTGATTAGTGTAATAGTGGTGTGTATGTGGTTAGTGTAATGGTGGTGTGTATGTGGTTAGTGTAATGGTGGTGTGTAAGTGGTTAGTTTAAGGGTGGTGTGTAGAACGTGTATGTGGTTAGTGTAATGGTGGTGTGTATGTGGTTAGTGTAATGGTGGTGTGTGGTTAGTGTAATGGTGGTGTGTATGTGGTTAGTGTAATGGTGGTGTGTGGTTAGTGTAATGGTAGTGTGAATGTGGTTACTGTAATGGTGGTGTGTATGTGGTTAGTGTAATGGTAGTGCGTGGTTAGCGTAATGGTGGTGTGTGTGGTTAGTGTAATGGTGGTGTGTATGTAGTTAGTGTAATGGTGGTGTGTGTGTGGTTAGTGTAATGGTGGTGTGTATGTGGTTAGTGTAATGGTGGTGTGTATGTGGTGTGTATGTGGTTAGTGTAATGGTGGTGTGTATGTGATTAGTGTAATAGTGGTGTGATGTGGTTAGTTTTATGGTGGTGTGTATGTGGTTTGTGTAATGGTGGTGTGTATGTGGTTAGTGTAATGGTGGCGTGTATGTGGTTAGTGTAATGGTGGTGTGTGTGTGGTTAGTGTAATGGTGTGTATGTGGTTAGTGTAATGGTGGTGTGTGTGGTTAGTGTAATGGTGTGTATGTGGTTAGTATAATGGTGGTGTGTGTGTGGTTAGTGTAATGGTGTGTATGTGGTTAGTGTAATGGCGATGTGTGTGTGGTTAGTGTAATGGTGTGTATGTGGTTACTGTAATGGTGGTGTGTATGTGGTTAGTGTAATGGTGGTGTGTATGTGGTTAGTGTAATGGTGGTGTGTATGTGGTTAGTGTAATGGTGGTGTGTGGTTAGCGTAATGGTGGTGTGTATGTGGTTAGTGTAATGGTGGTGTGTATGCGGTTAGTGTAATGGTGGTGTGTATGTGGTTAGTGTAATAGTGGTGTGTATGTGGTTAGTGTAATGGTGGTGTGTATGTGGTTAGTGTAATGGTGGTGTGTATGTGGTTAGTGTAATGGTGGTGTGTGGTTAGTGTAATGGTGGTGTGTATGTGGTTAGTGTAATGGTGGTGTGTATGTGTGTGAGGGTACAGGTGTTTTGATGATGGTTACCACCAGTTGTGATGGTACGAAAGAATCTTTGTTTGAAGTTCTTCTTGTCGTACCAGTTGTGAGGGTGGGGATTTTTAAGATGCGGAACGAATGAATCCAATAACACACAGTTCAGTTCCAAATACAAAGTTCTTTATTAAAATTATAAAAATCAAGTTCTACCTAACTAGCCTATTCTATACTCTCTACTGTTTACTACTACTACTGCTAACTGTACACTATACTACTAACTACGCACTCCCATGACCAATCCTACCACTAGCTACATTCTAACTGTTCTCTACATAACTACGTCTGCTCCATTCTTCAACCTAACACCTTCTGCCCTCGCTAGCTAATCATCATCTCCCGGCCTAACAGTGGCCCAGCTTCAGTGGCCAGCTGACCGTCCCACGTGACCGGTCAGCCCTGTGCCCATTGGCCTCTCTAACCAACCAACTAGGCCTATAGTCTGTTTCTGCTAACCTATATCTGCTAAACATGTCTGACGTAATCTTGCGTCATCACAATGTGGTTAGTGTAATGGTGGTGTGTGGTTAGTGTAATGGTGGTGTGTATGTGGTTAGTGTAATGGTGGTGTGTAGAACGTGTATGTGGTTAATGTAATGGTGGTGTGTATGTGGTTTGTGTAATGGTGGCGTGTATGTGGTTAGTGTAATGGTAGTATGTATGTGGTTAGTGTAATGGTGGTGTGTATGTGGTTGGTATAATGGTGGTGTGTATGTGGTTAGTGTAATGGTGGTGTGTGTGTGGTTAATGTAATGGTGTGTATGTGGTTAGTGTAATGGTGGTGTGTGTGTGGTTAGTATAATGGTGTGTATGTGGTTAGTGTAATGGTGGTGTGTGTGGTTAGTGTAATGGTGTGTATGTGGTTAGTGTAATGGTGGTGTGTGTGTGGTTAGTGTAATGGTGTTTTTGTGGTTAGTGTAATGGTGGTGTGTGTGTGGTTAGTATAATGGTGTGTATGTGGTTAGTGTAATGGTGGTGTGTGTGTGGTTAGTGTAATGGTGTGTATGTTGTTAGTGTAATGGTGGTGTGTGTGTGGTTAGTGTAATGGTGTGTATGTGGTTAGTGTAATGGTGTGTATGTGGTTAGTGTAATGGTGGTGTGTAAAACGTGTATGTGGTTAGGGCAGGGTTGGCAACTTTTTGAGACGGAAAAAACAAAAGTTACAATTTTCAAAATTTACCAGTTTTTATAGAGCCACTAACATTTTTAATTCAATATTATTGCGTTTAATTAGGATTAGGCGAATACATGTTTTTTTTAATTAGTAATTATTTGCTTTGTATATAAAATAATATACATTTATAAAAATAAAAACAGACATGTTTCGCACAAAACATATTAAAGTATTTTAGCTAGCTCAGTTACGATAACATTACTAATCAAATAATATAACTATAGGACTTTCCCAATCCATTTTAGAAGCTAGAACATTTTTGTTGTCTTTCTTTACAGATATCACCGGCTCAGGAAGTATTTAGTATCTCCAATTAGACAAGCAGGCATAAACTAGTCAAACCCCGACTAGACTGGCATGGACATCGATTTGATTACCGTATCGGTCACTTCTGTCCAGTTCACAACTGACTTACCTTCCACTCTACTCGTACCCCACCGTCCAGTACCCGGCTCAACCGTAGGAAACCAATAACTAAAAAACTATGTAACTCAGGTCTAATTAATGCATACTGACAGATAGCGAAATGCATTCTGAATAAAATAACATTCACTATTGAACGATATTTGAAAACGTCGGCAGTCGCAAGCATGGAATTGTTGTCACTCAAAGTTGTGCAATTGTATTCAAAATTAAAATCATATTTGCCTTAAAGTGTATTATTACTAGAATAATTTTACAAACAAACAAATGCGCTAAGCTATCAATTAATTTTTCCACCTGTTTGACTAAGCTCTCTTCCAAGAAAATTTCTTTGATGACAAAATCTTTTCTCTCAGGATGTGCAGGATCTTCTAGTAAAACAACACGACCAAAACTACCAGCACCTACAACCTCGCCAGGTCTAAAGTCTGCGGATATTTTGTGGTGTAGTTCATCTAGAATGGTGTTAAATGTAAAAATGTAAGGGCATTGAATGTATAACAGCATCTAAAATTATGTTGTAATGTTTAGTACACTACACAAAACTGCTCAAAATGTTTAAAGTAAGATATTTAAAAATCATTTAAACATTTTTTAAGTTACAGAAGTTTGAAAAAATTATCTATTGTTGTACAACAGTTATTTTAATTCTGCATGGTACTTTAAAACTTACAGTGAAAAAATTTCTCCATCTTCTAATAGAAATAAAACCTTTGTCTGTTGTTCACGTGAACCTAATAAGTGCAGAAAGGTTGGTGCTCATTAAATTTCTTTTTTCTTGTGGTTCAGTACTTTGGAAAAAATCAAATTGTTTAGACATTGGTGTAATATTTCTTTATTACTTAAGTAGTTAATGTTATTGAATCTATTAAAAATACACGTGTAGGAAATGAAATAATTTTTTTTTATCTATAATAATAGTTTCACCATTCTGTCACTCTGTCCATCTATCTATCCATCTGTTTGAAACGCTAGAGAAAACACAAAGAATGTAAAAACTTTCAGTTAAAAGGGAAAACAAAAAAATAACGTCACACAGAACACAGTAGGAAATATTATAGATCCGTAACAGTACGCACATTGATATGACGTCATTGATTCTAGAGTAAAAAAGAAATAAAAATCCATTGCCCAAAAAAATACACAATAGTCAGACATCTCTTTGGTTAGGGGGGGGGGGCAGAGGTCCCCACCTCACTCCGAAAAACATCTACCTCACCACCATAACCCCACCCCCCCAACCCCCCATCCCCAAGAGAAAAAACAATTTACATAGCAAATACATAATTTTACCAGTTTCAGCCCCCCCCCCCCCCGAAATATTTAATAATCACCCCCTGTGAGAATTTATTCCGCATCCCCCTCAAGAAATGTATATTGCCCTCCCCCCAAACAAGGAGAAATAAAAATTGAAAGAAACACTATTTTCATGAGTGAGTTTTAGCGGTCAAAACTAGGAAACTTGTTTATATTATAGAAGTAGGGTTTACCTTTAGCCTGTAAGAACTACAAATGCGACCAGTGTTTTTTTTTTCAGACTTTTTCCCCGATGGGGTGGGGGGGGGGAATTACTTGAAATTTTCGTAGAGGGGTGGACTAAATTTTCTTGGGAGCGGTCGGACACTGGTAAAAGTATATTTTCTATATAAATTGTATTTCGTTGAAGATGACGTTAGACATGCTTAGGATGGATGGTGGGGAATGACTAAGTCTATATTTAGTATCAATGTGTTAAAATGGCGATTCTGGATATTTTTCTTTTCTATTTAAATTTTAAGTTGAGGTGGTGATTTGGTTCCGTTTTTGAGGACTGTTTCGTCCCTTGTGTGTGTGTGTGTGTGTGTGTTGTGTGCTGGAACGACAGGTACCCTCCCTTTAGTGTATAGTTGTATCCCTTGGTTGAGTGTGTTGACATGGAGCGAGAAGTGTTCACGTGAGGTGTGTCAGGTGACGGGTGTCAGAGCGTGTACCAGTGTGAAGGAGTTAGTTGTGGTGTGGCTTTGGACGTGGCTGCGGACGTGGAACGTGGTGTTGAGTATTGTTATTTGTGTTGTATATATATGTGTTGTATACATATCTATATATATATATATATATATATATATATATATATATATATATATATATATATATATATATATATATATATATATATATATATATATATATATATATATAGATATATATATATGTAATCTATTATTGTTGTTGTTGTTGATGTGTTGTATGTGTTGTATTTTCTGTTGCTATATATATATATACCCCTAGACAATGAAGAACCCAAACTCTCAATAAATAAATTTTTCAACATCATCATACTTTACTGCCATATTATCAACTTAGCGCCCGTTGTATCTCTCCCTCAACGGACAATGTATTTCTTTTAAAACATTGACACACGTGTGGGTGTATTGTGTGTGTGTTTTTCTTTTTACTTTCAAATCAAGAAAATATTGACACACGTGTGGGTGTATTGTGTATGTGTTTTTCTTTGTAGTCGACACCCATGAACCTCGACAATCCATGAACCATAACACCACATTAACCCTAACACCCCATACACCCTATTAAACCCGACACTCCATTAACCTCGACACCCCATAGGCCTACACCCCAACACCCCATGAATCCCAACATCCCATGAACCATAAAACCCCATACACCACAACACCCCATGAACGCTAACACCCCATTAATTCTAACACCCCAACACCCTATAAACCTAACACCACATGAACGAATGACAAGCAAGCGAACAAAAAATGCTGCAGACAGTGGAAATAATATTCTCTCGACAACAGTCAGTGTAAATCATTCTTAGAAGAACAGATCCACAAAAACTGTTGAAGTTTTGAGACGTCTACATTCGATTTTATGATATGATTAGTTGAGCTTTTAGTTTTATTGATAATAATATTGAGATATTAGCACCGATAAGCTTTTACAAACACAAAATTAATCAAAATAACTTAAATGATTTTTTTATTCTCTGTGGAGATTAAAAATTGCTCTAACGGGAATTGCGTTCTTTTTGGAAATTCCCGCTATGACATGTTTTTTTGACCTAATAATAAATTTTAATATGTGAAGTAAAATTTCTCATTATTATTAATTACTTCGACTATGCTGATGTGTAGTCGATTACCTTACGACGTAGACAGTAACATGTGCAAAAATACAAATGTATTCTACGTGTAACACATATTTTCACGCCCAATATGCCCTTCAAATGTAAACGTAATAATACTCGGGTAATCTATCGTTTTAGGTACGTAAAATCGCCCGCGGCTATTAATGTACGAAAACGTTACCTCCCTGTTAAGGCTGTAATAGAAGTATATTGGGATATGTTTGTGTCAAATATTATAAATAAATGAATAATAAACCTAAATCAATGGCTAAATATATCAATATAGGCCAGAAATCAACTTTAAACAGCAGTGTCTGCAAGCAAGATTTGCTATATAAACAGCAGCCATTTGTAAAATAGAGTGACTTCCCCGTGAATCTGGCGCTATAAGTCTATAAAAATAAAACTTAAACAAGATGGCTGCTATAGTAAAAGAGCATGGTTGCATCTGCTGGAAACATCGCTGGTGTTCATTTATTACTGAAAAGTTTTAATTCATTTGTTTAAAAACAGGTACATAAATGAAACAAGGAAACATTTTTGTATTTTTCAAAACATAAATCCTCCTCAAAATGTGAAATAATTATTAAAATGTAAGGAGTCACCTGTTTTTCACATTACTAGTCGCGGGCGATTTTACGTACCTAAAACGATAGATTACCAATACTCGTACTCGTTGAAAGTTGTGTAATGGTATTCAAAATTAAAATCATACTTGCCTTACACATTTAGTATTAAAATTTATTTCTAAAGCATTAGCAGCAGTAAAATTATTACATAATACGTAGACAAGTTCGTTTAGGCCTACAATATAAACAAGAATAAAGTAGCCAGCATGAAAGATCTAAAAATCTCTTCTTACTTTGATAAGTTAAAATGGCTGACTTATGTCTCTCGCAAAATCTCGTCAAATCTGTGTTAGTGTTTAAAAGGTTCAGTCTCTCTCTCTCTCTCTCTCTCTCTCTCTCTCTCTCTCTCTCTCTCTCTATATATATATATATATATATATATATATATATATATATATATATATATATATATATATATATATATATACATATATATATATGAATATATATATATATATATATATATATATATATATATATATATATATATATATATATATATGTATATATATATATATATATATATATGTAGTATATATATATATATATATATATATATATATATATATATATATATATATATATATATATATATATATATATGTATGTATATATATATATATATATATATATATATATATATATGTATGTATATATATATATATATATATATATATATATATATATATATATATATATATATATATATATATATATCACCCCATGCGAATGGCTATCTCTGTTTCTGTCATTGATCTGTTCACTTAGTAACTCATACTACTGGAGACTGGTGTAAATATTTTGTGAGAATTTAACATGAGCTTTTACCCTGTACTATAAATCGTTGTAACCACACTTAGGGCAGGATAAAGACATGGGCACGTGTAAACATGGACACCTGCAGACATTGACACCTGTAGACGTAGACACCTGTTGACATGGACACCTGTAGACATTGACACATTTGACATGGACACCTTTAGACATAGGCAACTGTAGATACTGACACATTTAGACATGGACAACTGTAGACATTGACACCTGTAGACACGGGCACCTGTAGACATAGACACCTATTGATGTAAACATGTTAACGGTAAATAGTAGATTTTACCGTGTTAGTGATGAACATCAGTAAATTAATGCAATTAAACGGGTAGGAGGGTCTGTGTCACTTCTCTACCGGAGATAGTGTATAGTATATTTAGAAGTAGCATCATTAAGGTCTGATGGCTAAGTGGCAATTCGAAGAGTATATTTAGATGTAGCATCATTAAGGTCTGATGACTAAGTGGCAATTCAAAGAGTATATTTAGATGTAGCATCATTAAGGTCTGATGACTAAGTGGCAATTCAAAGAGTATATTTAGATGTAGCATCATTAAGGTCTGATGACTAAGTGGCAATTCAAAGAGTATATTTAGATGTAGCATCATTAAGGTCTGATGACTAAGTGGCAATTCAAAGAGTATATTTAGATGTAGCATCATTAAGGTCTGATGACTAAGTGGCAGTTCAAAGAGTATATTTAGATGTAGCATCATTAAGCTCTGATGACTAAGTGGAAATTCAAAGAGTATATTTAGATGTAGCATCAAAATCAAATTAGATTTTAAATGAAAATTTTAGTTAGCCCCCCTGTCCCTACACATGTATATAATCCTATTTTGGTGAGACTGGCTACATAAGTCTAGACAAGTGACACACGTATTTATAGAGATGACAACATCGGCTGGTGCATTGAAAAAAAACCTACACGGTAAGATTTTCTGTATTTGTGGACAATACGGACAGTAAATCTATCGGACGTGATTGTTAACAGTGCAGATAAAGTAGAGTTCACCTGAATTTGTGATTTAGTGACATCACTAGTATAATTAAAGTGTTGCCAGGAATACATTAGACTAAAATGGATTTAAAAACGCCCTATACACAATATGGAGAAGTTTAGTGGCATGTGCTCTACCACTCGACCACACCATCCCATCTCTACAGGTCATGTAAAGCTTTT